TATTTTTAAGGGCTAGTAAATGTTACAGGTCACTAGCCCTGCTGGCTAGTGAACATTTTAGGTTAGTTTCAAGCCCTGGCAAGTAATGTGGTATGGGCGCTGCCATCTTGTCGTGTCACTGGATACAGTGACAGCGTGTTGTCGAGGGTTCACGCTAACTTTGTTTAGCCGTTGCACTCTGCCTACGCCGGATACGACTGTGTCACCGTCAGATATGACGACTAGGAATCATCGATGGATAACTGACACTCTTTTTAGGCAGGCTCCCCGCTCGTCGCCAATGTAATGTTTGAATATTATCTCACGGAGACAAACAACGCCACACACTAATGGTTGCTGGTGGGACTCCTGTTGTGGAGTGTGGTGTAGCACGATAATTTCTTAGGTATTTGAACAGTTCCTGTTTCCATGATTGATGTTCAACAGCTGCGGCTCTGGTCAAACATTACACTGGTCTAAGCACATAATACACTTCTCAACTTTTTACTTTTTGTTTAACCTTTCAAAGGAATAGTGTGTTAAATACTGTAATTGCAGTAACCTCTCACCAATAGTTTAATATTCTGAAATTTGGCCATACGTTTTCATAAGATCCCAATGTTGTGTAGTTTTACAAATCCATTTAAACTACTGTCATGTTCGTCTAGGCCCTAGGGTTTATTATCATTACGTTCACATTCCATTTATTGCCTGTAATATACGAAATGGAATTCAATTTTTCTGTAGCTGTCATTTGATAATAAGTTGATGTTTGTCAGAAATAGTCAGAACTATTTCATTACAATTTTCGATCGATCAACGTGTCTGAACAAAGCTGTCTTCAGAGTGTGTCATCAACTGTTTATAATTATACTGTAAATAATAATAAACAGTACTGTGAAAAATTTATACCATTATCTTAAAGTTGTTTCGTATAACTGTGAATTGAGAGTCAGGAATCAGTATGCCAAGTAATACGATATAACTCACTGTTTGTGTGAAATCATGAAGCCACGTCAAATAATTATTGATAAAATGTATTTTTTTAAATGTGAATTGTGAAATAATTTTTAAGTTTCAATACACTCACGGATGTTGTACTATCAGACTATATGGTATATATATTATATATACAGCTCAATGGCTCTGACCATCAGTTTCTCTGCCTGAGGATGGCAGCACTCAATAGAAGGGGCAATACTATCAAGAGCTAATAAATACCGGTAATAAAGAGCTAATCAAGGTAATCAAGGTAATCAAGCTAATCAAGGTAATCAAGAGCTAATAAATAAAGGTATTTATTAGCTCTTGATACTATATACGCCATATTTTTCGCGTACAGATATTTTCGCGAATTCAGACTTGACGGACAATTTCGCGAGTGGTTAATTTCGCGGTCGGTGAATTATGAAATATTCGGTATTATTCGGTATGAATTATTCGCGTGTTGTTATTTTCGCGGCCGCGGACGCGTTCGCGAATCGCCACGCAGTGAGAAACAGGAAGGTAACTTTTGGCTAATTGTGTGGTACTAGGCTTGATGGCTTTATCTCACCGGTCCAGTGACACTTCCAGCCCTCTAGGTACTAAGTAGCCCGACCAGGCTGTGCGACGGAGTGTCTATACAATGGTATTCTAACCCTAGCAATACCGTTTCTTGGAGCTAGGTACTAAGGTACTTACAGTTACGGGGTACTTACCAAGTCACATACACAGGCACTTGAAGCGTATCAACTGTAAACACACGGCGCCGCCATTGCGCGTACACTAACACATAATAATACTAATAGAGTTATATTATTATGTGTTAGTGTACGCGCAATGGCGGCGCCGTGTGTTTACAGTTGATACGCTTCAAGTGCCTGTGGTCACATACGTAACACAACAGAGTAGTAGGCCTACTAGTACGGCTCATAGGGTCTATGTCCCCCAGGGTACTGCCGGAACGTACCATGGCCATGGGTACGGTTCGGTGTACATGTACTGGAACGTACCCTGGTACCAGAGCATATAAATCAACGTGATTTAATTATATGCTCTGCTGGTACTATCTAATATGCCAGACCGTACCTCGCTTACTCCACTAATGAGTCTAGGGAGTTGCCTACGCCTACTCCCTAACGGTAACCTTAACCCTAACCCTAACCCTAACTCTAACCCTATCCCTAACCCTAACCATATCAGATAGTTACCAGGGTACGTTCCCGTATACCGGATCGTACCCAGGGTACTTTCCAGCAGTACCCTGGGGGACATAGACCCTATGAGCACTAGTACGTAGTATGACGTAAGGCTAAACTGTAGTTGCAAATTTGTTTGAGGCTTTTTCTAGGCTACTGCGATCCGTAGTGTTGATCTGTCAATTTGATCAACTTATCTCTTTCCACCTTCGATATACTATATAGTCTTTTGGACAGTGAAGCCTATATTATATTTACGAGGTTACGAGGTTAAAGGGTGTTCTAACTGTGTTGGGTGTGTGTGTGGGAGCCTATACTTTTTAGCTCATCTGACATAGTCAGATGCAGCTTGTAGAATCGCATGATCGTCCGTCCGTCCGTGCGAGCGTCCGTCCGTCCGTGCGAGCGTCCGTCCGTCCGTGCGAGCGTCCGTCCGTCCGTGCGAGCGTCCGTCCGTCCGTCAACAGTTGGGCACAAATCTAAAC